TATGGGTGTGGTCACACGTACAGGAGTAATTATGATTTGCAAGTTAGGATACCTGATCTGTCGAAGGGGTTACATGAATGGTTACAACAAATAAAAGCAAATAACCGAATTGGATCAGTTCAAAAAACATCTATTTGCATCCACAACTAAACAAATAGCTGGAACGGGACACAAAAGTAAACTCAACCAACCCTTGTTGTACCATACAAACGTTGTCCAGGGCTTGTACTAAGGTTCATTGAAGTCTTGACCATACGAAAGCTCAAAACCCCTTCATATGTCCAGAAATAGTTTGTTCTCACCTTACAACCACCCTGGCAATATTGATTTGACGTCAAGACTGGTGGTTCGCACTATTTCTCACATTGTTTCTCTATCCTCCCTGTTTCCTCTTAATCTTCATTCGCTTAGTTGACCCTTTATTTTTCTTACATCACTGTTCCTAACACATAAGTAAGTGATCAGATCGTTCAAAACATGTTGCATCAATATATCATATAGTAGTTCTGACGATCTTCACCTTCTTGTTACATTTTCCAAAGAAAATTTATGTTAATTCTACGAATAACGCAAGTCGCATATCTAAATAATAAGCATTTGATCAAATTCTGAAGTATCATGATTATATTAAAATCATTTCGATTAGAATCAACAACCAACAATTAATGTATGCATAAGAATTCATGTAATACCGTTGATCTAAATTTCACTGGTGTGAAAAAAAAACAGAAGATAACAGAAATAAAATAATGCAGTATATTCGATGAATGTTACAGTCTCAATAATTACAATGAACTTGACTTACTACAAAAATCTTCATTGTTGCAGTTCTACTTGGAAGAAATCAAACAAACCATACTGATGTATGAGTACATATTTATATAGTAGTTATGTTTATAATTTTATGGTTCATTAATCCATGTACATTACCTGATTGGTTGAAATTAAATTTACATGAACATGTTATAACATACATTTAGAGAATTCTTTTTTCTTTTTGTCAAATTCTTATATAATCAATTTTCGATTGACTCTTCACAAGTGTTCATTATAATAACAGCAATGAAAAGAATAGAATAATTAAAGATGAAAACATCTACATCTGAAGTAATAATCATATTATGGGTAAATTCATAAATTGAAATTTTAATTCCACACAATATACAACTGACAACTACATTTCTTTTAGTTTCTAAGATAGATATGTCTTGATTTTTGTAGGATGGAAGTTATTTATTTCAATTTCATTTCATTTACCATTCTCAACGATAATCCATTTTCAACGAAGATTTTACTAAACAGAAATTTAATTATGAACTATAACAAATGCAGATTGCATCCTTGTTATTATGATTATATGACACAAGATCTGTGGATTTCTGGTTCACATAAAACTATCATTTTCTTATAGATTTTAAAAGAAAAGCAATATGTAATTTGGTTTCAAATAGTTTTTTTCTTTCAGCATGTTTGGTATTTAACTAGCAGCTGAATCCAGAACGTGCGTTTTAATGTAGTCAGGACTAGTCGGCTGAATGAACTGTTCATCTCACTGTTAATGTACACACTATGACTAGAACCCAATACCTTTCACTGCTAATCCCATTGAGACGTGAACTAAGTTATTCAATCAAAACAGCCACTGGGTTGTACAACAGCTGTAAAGGTATTAGTAACAGTTGGAAATTACCGACTGTTGTTATTCATGACTGTTACCAACATACAGGATACACTGAAACTTGCAACATAACTCCATATCGTGGCATTTCGCTTAGGATACTAATGGAGACAGAAACTGATCATTCGCAGTTCTGAATATCAATGACGGGACATTATCAACCCCTACTGATTATCATTTTTAGACTCAACATCTACCTAACGGATAATAAGACCACGCCATTTCCATGAAATGCTTTTGTAATCGTAACCATTTTATTTCTCTTGATTGATGCTGAAAGAAGCTTTGATTTGTTTACATAAACTTGTCTTTCAGCATGACATTTTAACAAGGAATCCATAATCTCAAAAGTTTTCTTGACGTAAATTTCGTTTTACGGTTGATTTGAACGTTATTTTAATCATCAAAGGTTATGAAAGATCAATGTCAATTAACGAGCGAATGTTAAGACACATTAAAGTGCATATACACTATTTTGGAAAATTCAATTAAGCTATAAACATGGGCCTACAAAAGTGAAACTAAACTGAATGTGCGTTGGTTATTACAATTCAACTACCTCTTCCAACACCATTTTTATAGACACTAATCTTTCTCAATTGAATTAATTACGAGAACCGAAGCCTAACATGTAGCCCATTAATCTATGAAGCTAGTCGTCATTACAGCACACAATGAAACTACCGCTGTTAAACGCAATTTCCGTTGATTTCAGTGATAACTATAATTTTAATCACTAAAACCAGTAAATTTCTGGCGCTTTTATAATTATTTCATAATGAATTCACCGAACAGGTCAACCAGTTTAGTCAACAGCACAGCAGGTACAGTACTGATATTATTTGACACTGACAGCTTTTATTTGCTAACTAACATTTAGTCCTAAATGATTAAATTAGTCCCCTGAAAATAGACAAGTAAGAATACTGTTTTCTGAAATGGAGATTAGAAGAACTGTATAAAAGAGTCAGGCACATCCTAATGAACAGAAATCAAACAGAAGATTAGTCTTAAACATAGGTTGATGTTAAGTCTTAATATTCAGAATGAAATTAAATATTTTCAACACAGACCATGTCGTGGTCAAAGCAAGTCACCTATAGATTAGTACTTGAAAGTGTACTGAACAGTGAGTGTTAAATCCGTAGTAATGGGATCAACCAAGTAGGACTATTATTCTTTGGTTATCGATCAAACTTCTCCGACTAAAAATATCACAAATCCGTGCATACTGAATGCGTCGATTTTGACGCTCTCAGGATAATGATTCATATACTTCAAAATCTTAGACATTTTGTCTCATTTTATTGTAATTGGTAGTATTAACTCGTTAAATAATCTTCAAAAGAGACAATTCGGTCGCACCAATAAATTTCCCGTTTAATGAAAACAAAAAAGCACTTAATGAGAAGAATTGCGAACTGCGTTATTCCTGGTCTCCTGAACCCAGGCGTTCTAGACTCTATGTTGGGGCTTTTAATTTACGGACATTGTGTCAAATAGGTCGACAGGCTTCGTAAGCTAGGACTTTGGAATCGCGCGCCATCGATGCATGCTGCGTCTTGGAAACGTACATGCAGGGTCCGAGTAACGACATTCATTTGACATCCCCAAGTGAAGATAAAGAAACAACTTGTTTCACTCTTCGCGTATCTGGAATCTCTGATGCTGCTTCCCGGGTTCTCGCTGGTGTAGGTATAGCACTGAGTTCTAGGACAGAACTAGCTTTCTTGGACTGAATCTATTACGAACGCACTTCAACAAGTCAATTGATATGTTGAACTATTACGAGTTCATCTTACCCAGTAAAGGAGAACTAGGATCGATATTTGCTAGTAAGGTAAACCATAAGGCCACGAAAAAGCTGCGGATCTCAGTTGCATCCACCGAACTGATAGACCCTCGTAAACTCATCCCACTTGGCTCTGAACATGACGAAGCGACAAGTAAGCTTAAGCGCAGGCTGACATAAACCTACGCAATGATCGCGGACAGTAGTGAGTAGAGAAGGAAAGAGTGATGGAAAAGGCAGCAGCAATAGGCAACAGAAGACAGTTGTTTCGACCTATCAAGGAATCCGGTATTAGAAAGCCAACTGTCAGCGAAACTATCTCAGAAAAGAATGATTCATTCCCAACCCAGGAGATTGGATCGATGGGAAGAACACTTTAGGGATCAGTTCAACTGGCTTTCAGTCACACTTCGGTTACTCACGATCACCAGTCATCCTGAATGGCAGATTAATATAAGTCCTCCGATTCTTTATGAAGTCGAACAAGCTATAGGAAATATAAAACGAGGTAGAGAGTAAGGCTTGATGAGCCTACCCGAGATTTTAAGGATATCCGGCCAGTTTTAACAATTAGATTGACAGAGATCTTAGGTAGAATCTGTGAACTAGGCGTAATCCTATCCGACTGGTCTCTATCATCCTTATAAGATGTAAGTGCATTTCGTGCGTTTGAAGTCACGAACAACTGGACTGAGCCATGTTAGTAGGTATAAACTACCTGGTTGGGGTCCGCGTGACAATAGTAACCGATGGTTAGCAATGTTTAATGACATGGCTCAAAATCGTTTGCAATGGCGCAGATGGACGATCCTTCATCTTCCCTCAAATTCCAATCTTCCCAGTTCTTCATTACTTTTATCTTTGCCTTTTTAAGTTTATTTCACTGAATTGTAATTCTAGAGTCATATCTCCAATCCTTCATCTTTTCCATTTCTACTAATACTTCTACTACCTCCAATTCTATGGGATTTGAATTGATACTGCATCACTGTGCCAACGTGTTATGGTAATTTGAACCGATGTACGGAGTTCTACGACTGATGAGTCGTTAGCTCAAAACTTTCCTAGTTCTTCCCTGACATACAAGGTAGTTTATGGCTAGATGTGAACCATTAAGCCATCCAAGAAATAAATTTATTATACTCCTGGATGGCAGGAAATCGATCTACGGTTAGTTGGCGATATTCGGATAAACAGCACTACAAACAAGACTGAGTATTGGTCATAAACAACCTAGCTAAGAGCTCAGCTTGCTTCTGTTGAAGTGAGACGATCTTTTGTCAATTACGAGTAACCTGTGATTATTATCAGAACCCACGACAAGTTTAACTAAACATTACATGCAACGAGGGAAACGAAAAACTCGAGAAGTGAGATGTTTAGAACTGAAGCATAACATTACCCGAACACAAACCAGGAAGACATTCGATAGTAATGATGATATCTCCCCAAAATGCACTGATCTGTGTAAGGTTTTTGCAACCACATATTTTGTGGTGCATTTGATTCGGAACGAATAAACCGTAAGGATGAGTTAGTAAATAAATGTATTCTCGTACAATAAAAGTCAAAAGTTTATACAAAATATTTGTACAGTTTATTTTGTTCAAATGCTACACCTCTATAAAATACTTATAGCTTTGGGGCTCCCAATGCCATAGGCATTTTTTCAACTACAACACGATGTCCATGTATATACATTATGGGTACTCCAGTTATTTTTCGGATACGACGCCTTAAGTCACGATCACAAGTAGCAACGATATAACAACGGGATTTGCAGCGCTCGACTAGACAATCATCAGCATATGTTCCTCTGTGTTGGCAAGTCAACCTTTGAATTCTCTCATCACGAAGAATTCTAAACTGAACTGAGATGCAAGTTAAACAATTACTTTAAAGCCACTCGATATCTCTCTGACATTTTTTCTATTTCCCCCATAACACAATCTGTAACATATAGAAAACCTGATCATTAAAATGAGTGAAAAAGTGCTTACATTTTGCTAGTAAACAATCCATCATTGACTTGAAAAGATCCAGTCGATTTTTGATGGAAAAGTTGACATAATTCGTATCTAAAAGTATATGGTAAGGTGGTCCAAGGGCTTCGTTATATGAATCCTTAAGGCACGGAAACACCTCAGCATTGTGTTTTACCGATATGTGATGTGAGGTATCTTGCTTGAAAGGAGTAACTTTTTTCAGCCTATTTTGCTTTTTACTAACACCGTTGTCTTAAAATCAAAGTGTGCATTACATTCGTGAGTCTGTTAGTGATATCATTCGCTTCATTGCTGCAAACTTCCGAGTTTGCCTAGCCTTGCCCATGTTGTACCGCAATACTTGAACATTCCAGGTTTCCAATATCCGATATCTTTTTCACGAACTAGTGTAAACCAATTTGATTTCTTTGCCCTCGATTCTTTTTCTTTCGATACGGTTCCAGGTGTTCGGTAATGTCCAATGGATGGAGGTCTAGCCACTCGACTGTCTAATTCTAGTCAGTTGGCAGTTGGTTGTGAGTTTGTATGTCTCGGGATTTGAATGAAACGTTTGTTTCAGGGCAGTAGGGTTTCTGGATACTAGCAGCCGTCACATTACCAAACCGGAGATCAGTTAGTTGCAATGTGGAGATTAATAAGGGTAATAAGGATCAATTACTATGATAATATGAGTAAAATTTCAGAACTGAGTAATGTATAGATGAATTTAGTTTATTAATTGGTTGTGAAGTTAAACTAAATTCATCTATGAAATCATCGGCATGTAGATTCCAATATCCAATATCTTTTTCACGAGCTGGTATAAAATATTTGATTTCTCTTGCGTTCAATTCTTGTTCTTTCGCCATGGTTCCAGGTATCTGATGATGTTTAATGGACGGTAGTCTAACCAGTCGACTGCACAAATTCTAGTCAAATAGCAGTTATTAGAAATTTTCATGTCTCGTGATTTGTGTGAGTACGTCTCAGGGCAGAAGGGTTTATGGTCACGTCACCAGGCTGGAGACCAGTTTGGTGTAATGTGGTGAATATTAGGGAGTAAATTCTAATGGTAATAAGAAAATGAAATGTATCAGCCACAGCAAGTCCAAGAGGTAGATAGTAATCCGCATGTAAGTGTTAGACAAGTCTGTTCCTGAAGCTGTCCACTGAGGAGATGGTGATCCTCTCGACCGGGAGGGGAGATGCAACGACGTTACGAACCTCATGGTTTGAAAATGCGTATGTCTTAAACAGTGCTATGAATAATTCAGGGGTGATTGCACCAAGCTGTTGGGTTAATATCGACTGAGTCCTGTATATAGTTCAAGCTGGAGTCTAGGTTTTCTGGGATTATCAAACAGAGATTGTGCTATCATGTGAACCAGTATTTTCGGTCTCAGAATGTTGTTCATCTGTCACGTGCTATGAGAAGACAGGATGACCTGCCTTTCCGAAGTCCTTGTTCAGCTTCATGGAGAATTTTTTCTCACTCATGAACTCCCTCATTTGCCTATTTACTATTCTTACCATTACCTTTGACATTATTGGTAGTAATGCGAGTGGTCTGTAATAGGCTGGACCGTTTCTGTCTCAGCCTTTGAGGATTTGAACGTGCTTCCATTCTGCTGGGAGTTTATGTGGCGTCAATAAATACCAGAACTCAGTATTTCAAGATTTAAGATGAATATTATCACGTCCTGTTGACTTAGTTCTAAGTCAGGAGTACGCTGGATATTCTCTAGGCCAACACTTGGTTTGAGTAGTCCTCTGAACGTGTAGGTACCAAGTTTGACTGATTTGTGGACTTTGTATTAAAGATTCCAGACATCTCTAGACTGTTATGACCTTTTCCATTTGGACCTTTTAGGATATAAGCTCTCCGGTTCGTAGATGTTCTTTTATTGGTGAATCGAAACATATTTTCAATTTGCCTGTATTTCGCCTTTTTGTTTCGTCCGAAATGTCTCCTGTCTCTTTGAACTTAAAAGTATGACCTAAAGTCGGAGTCCTTCACAGGGACGCTCTACTTCTACCAGGCCCTCCTCTACGCATTAATCAAACGTTCAGTGCCTCAATCTTAGATCTTCTCTTTCGCGATGTGCCATGTGCCTCAAGTAGATTATGTAGGACAGCATTTTGAATGACGTCTCTCACAAATTGCCAGTTATCATCTGCAGTTAGCGGCCAACATTCCGTGTCCATGGTGCGTGTAGATGCTCTCCCATGCACGTGTAGTTTGCTGTAGTGTGGTAAAGGTAGGACGTGTTTTCGTCTCACCTAAATATTTCATTAATGACCAAGATTAACCTGACTGCGCAACTGTCATTACTTCCTCGACCAGGAGCTATCCATCTGTTAGCAGATAATCCAGATTTTAGGATTTTCCATCGCCAGATAGTTACTTGTGGACTGAGCAAAATGACAAGACAGGTCAACTTGTTTACACCATTCAAGACATGGGACGCCGAAATGAAATCAGCTGGTATTCTACGATGAGGTGAGGGGAAAAGGTTTTGAGGTTTGAAGCGCTTGTCATTAGGGAATTCGGAAAGACCTATAGCTAACATATTCCCCACCTGCTGGACACTGAATTGCTACAGCATCTAAGGTTTGTTGTTCTGTGTGCAATAGAAGAGCCAGATCATTTGAGATTTCCAGATCGTCTTACTGCATCCTCTTTGTTCATTGGATACTGCGCTTCCCTCCAGATGCTGACGTCTTCACAATCTGGTCGATTATCAGGAGAAAGAGAAAGTGTGAGAGTAAGCAACTTTGCCTGACACCGGCCTTCACCTCAAACAAGCTTGTCAACTGACCTCAGTGCACGATTTTGCAGTTTAATCCAGCATAAGAATTCCGTACGATGTTGACTATCTTCTGAGGCACGCCGTAGTGTTGAAAAAGCCTCCATAGTGTTGTCTTCACGCTATCGAATGCTTACTCGAAGTAAGTGTAGTCGATGTAGAATGGTGAATTCCATTAAAATTGATTGTTCCACAATGATTCGTAATGTTGCATGTGATTTGGTTGGTATACGATCGATCCTTACGAAATCCACCCACCTGATCTCGCAGTTGGGCATCTACGAAGTCCTTCATTCTTTTTAACAATACCTTGTTGAAGACTTTACTCCGTTTTGAGGGAAGAGTGATGCCTCTGTAGTTCTCACAATTACTAAGATCGCTTTTTTTTGGTATCTTAATGAAGCGTCATTCTTTCTTCATTGTTGGTACTTATTATTTCTCGCAAACTTTGCTGAAGAGAATGCGGAGTATCTTTGAAGTTATTACTATGTCTGCTTTCAGTGACTTAGCTAGAATGTTGTCTTGCCTCTTTTTAACTTGTCTGATGGCTGTGGTGATTCATTTATTTGTTAGAGAGCCAATACCAACCGGATGGTATGTCTCATTTGGAGTATGAGGGGCTTATCGATTCAAGAGTCCTTCAGTATACCCTACTCGTCTATTTTGCTGTTCTAGAATGTTGATGATTGTTTTGCCTTCCTTGTTTAAAACTGGTTGTCCTGGTTTACTATATTTTCCAGCTAGCCGTTCTTTGTATCGTGTAGTTGATTTATGTTTCCCTCTGTGACAGTTTTTTCTGATATCATTGCTGCATCTCCCATATATTTTCGCTCATATTCTCTGATGCTTCTCTTCACTTGCTTGTTTGGTTCCGTCTATTCAGCTTGTTTCTTGGCTTCATCTGACCGTCTTTAGTTGAATCTTATCTGGAGTATCAACAGAGACCCATTCCTTGTGATGGCGCTTCTTGTTGCTCACCATGACATATTGAACTTATTGCTTCTATGATCTATTTCCAGTTGTTTTCCATGATAGTCTCTTCTCCATTCACTAGATCTTAATGCGCTTGAGTTTGGCAGTTTCCCGAAGAAACACCGTATTAAACTTTTGTGATACTGTTCATCCAGTTGCCAAGTGCTTCGCTAGTTTTAGTTTCATCATGACCACTATTAAGTGGAGACCTGAAGCTAGTCAGCTCCTCTCCTTGTTATTACGGCACTCACGATCGTTCCGAACCTTTATTAATGCACTTGCGGAAGATTGTTTTCTGTGTAGTGTGATTCGGTTAAGTCAACGTAACTTGCGAATGCGTTTGTGTGGTGATATGGTGTTACCGATAACCAGTTTGTTGGAGGCGCATAAGTTGGCAAACCTATCACCATTTTCGTCCCTTTCTTCTAGTCCATGTTGTAACATGATGTCTTTATATCCGGGGTTTTCCAGACTCATCTTGACATTTGGGTCTTCCATCAGGATCCTCAAATCCTTTGATGACCATCTCTCAAAGACTGATTGCAGCGTCTCGCGGAATTTATCCTTAACATCTTCATTGCAGTCATTGGTAGGTGCATAGCATTGAATGACGTTCATTGTAATGTTCTCTTTCTTTGTTTTGAAAGATGCTTTGATGATTTTGGGTCCATGAGATTCTATTGCTAAAAGTGCCTTTTGTGTTTGTTTGGACAGCGTCAGTCCAACTGCTTGTTTAAGTAAGGCATTTTCCTCTTCATGGCCGGAGCATAATAGCAGCTCTTCTGAAGCTAGTCTTACTTTTTCAACCTGAGTGTGATGTGTTTCACTTATTTCAAGTGCCACCAGCTTAATGCTCATCATTTTTGTAGTAACTTGGATGACTCCCATGGTCCTCGACATAGTAAAAAAATTCCATGTACTTAAATTAATGGTTGCTTCGATTTTTCAACCGCTGATGTCATGACATCCGAAGGAACACGGCTTTCATCATGAGAGGTCATAAATCTTCTCACTGCCAAGGGAAGAGGTCAAATGGTTTGAGTTATTTTCGTAAATACCTTTATTTAGAGAGTTGGTTCTCTGCGACATGGGTAGCTAACTCAATGTTCCGACCTCTTCCTTTATCCGATCTTCGAACCAGCAGCAGCTCCATAGGGGCCCTAAGCATTTGAATATTCGACGAAGTGACCATAATACTGAGACTGCTGCGTTACAATGTTCGTTTGTTCTCAACCAATTACTTATTATTAATCCTTTGTCTTTTTGTTCCAGAAATGTACTGTTAACTGTAAATTGGTAACAACTGCTATTTCCGAAGTGCATTTGGACAATTTCTAGAAACAGTTTCTGTGACATCTGACTAATTCGTCCAGATTACCTTGGAAAACAAGATGTTCAGTCTCATTACTCATTTTTATCTAAATTTCGACATGCTCGGGATGATGCCTTGATGCACAACACGCTTGACCGGTTTTCATTCAAACAGTGTCCCAATTACTCTCATCAACAGTCTTCGACGATGGGGACGTGTCTTATCAACTCAAACATACCGGCCACTGCAAAACCC